CAAAAAAAGTCAGACATTATACGATTTAAAATAAAAACAATAATCGTGGCTTGATATTGAGTAAAACATGTTTTTATGAACCCCACAGCTTCCGGTCTTCCAAGACCCGAGCGGACAAAAAGACGTGCTGCAGGCACGAAACATACTACCAATAGAAATACATTGCTTTGAAAATCGTTCTGTGTGACACGAAAAAAAGGGGAAAATCGTGTTGGTGAACACAAATCAATAGGTTACATTTTGTGACTATAACACGAAATGTCGTGAGACTGGGTTGGTAGCTAAGGTAGCTTAACTTTGTATTGAACTGTAGTGACATTAAAAAGTTATTATTTTAACCTAAGCATTTATCTTTTCTTAAATTCAACCTAAAACAAACATAATGTACCTAACCTGTGCCACATGTAGAGTAACAAAGATCAATATTTTCCTAACCCCACATTGCCTTAAACTAACCAAGAAGAAGATAGCCTGCATGTCGAAAAATCGGAACTAGTGAGTAGGCTACTCTGTGTATCACAAAGGGTCGCAACGGGTCCTGACCTTGCCGCGGTATTTGACGAGTTGGTAATGAAAATGTGCACTGATGGACATATTCTGCAAAACCTTTGTCTTTTCTCTTAGGTTTGAAGAAACCACCCGAAACTTTCTCCGTGCCTTCTCTACCTCAGCTTGTTAGTCCCTCGGCGTGCTCTCAATCTAACGCAGGTCAGCCATTGTTCATCTCCTCTGTTAAGTTCCCACAGGACAACTATGCCCAAAGATCCAAGCAAAGAAAAAAACCCTTCCCACTCAGCAATCAGTGTGTCTCTGTGGGAGTCTGTCTCTCGAGCTGTGGGAAAGAGATAGAGAGGTGAAATATGTTGTGTATATAGATAGAAAACATTGTTATACTTTACACAATAAAACAATATCAAATCCAAATTTTAAAAAGGTGAAATCTAAAGCAATGCTTTTTTTTGCCAACACTTATGTAGGCTACACTGTATATTAGTATTGACTCATTTTTTATGTTAAAAAACCTGGAAAACACTTTAAATTGCTAAAGTAAAGGTGCTTTTTGCCAACCTCAGCATCACTCCCGTAGCTGTTTTAACCTAGCTGCACACTGGTTAATAACGGCTTTATCAAGGATTAGCTTTTAGCATAATTAGCTTATGGTTAGCATTAGCGTAATAAAAGCTCTAAAATGTAATTTGATGTTCTGTTTGTATCATTTTGGTCATCAGTGTCTCCAGACTGAAAATGTTTAACTATCTGACTAGAGTGTAAACCAGTACAAATCATAACCAGAATAACAAATTAACACCTGTTTAAGCAACTTTCTTTTAACACACCTCCAAATCTAGCCTTATCATGAGTAGCTGTCGCTAAAACAACATTGATGATTCATTTTGGGTGTACAATGTTCCCAGATAAGCCATTTGAAGGTTAACCTTTCTTCTTCAGTCCAAATAATTATTAATATTATATAAAGGTTCTGGCCCACTGTACTTTACATTCATTCTTATCTTTAATCAATCAGTACTTAACCCTTTGGAGTCGACCGTCACGCTGGCGTGATCAGATCACATGACCTGTTCAAGCCGGTGCCGCATAAAAACAACAGTCCGGAAAACATTGCTGTGTGTTTCCGTCGAAAGTACTGGCTTGAAACTATATCCCAGTCTTTGTTTCATGCAAAAAGACCCAGTAAACACGGAGATACAGTACGATGATATAAAGTTAATACATTTCAAAAGTATGAAAAATGGAAGCACGTATTTTAATATCTTCGCCGTATTTTATCATTTTACGAAACGGAAAATACTGGAAACTGTAGATCCTGCTCAACAGGATGTATTTACCAGGGAGGGGGTGAGGTAATCAGGTAAACGGAGTGACACGAAGAGGGACGACGGGAAATGGAGAGAGACGAAGATATACGAAGACAGGCGGCGATTGAAGTAAAGTTATTTGTTCATAAAATGTGTATAGGTTCATGCTACCTCAATAACGTTCACATTATCATAGTGACATAGTGACATCCCATTCAAATTGTTTCGTTGTGCATGTTTGTGTTACATATATAAAAAAATAATATCATTTTCAAAATCCATTTTTATGTTTTTTTGTGATTTTGGGTCCAACATGTTCATATAGTATCTCAAAATGAAAGAAATATACCAAACATTGACATGCCAAACATTTCTTAATAAGGTTTAGTAAGACAAATCAAAAGTATGCGAAAACGGCCAAATTAGCCCAGGACTCCAAAGGGTTAACAAGAAGAAAGAAAGAATCCATCGACTCAAAAGGAAAATAAATCAATTATAATCAGGAAACGCACCAAATCCGTGCTCAAATAATTGAGTAGCCTGAACCTGATATGTGCTGAACAAAGGTCCCCTCTGAAAATTCCTGTCATGCACGCAATTTGAATTTCTTTCAAAGCTTTTTAACCTCTTATTGTGCAAGTTGGTCACTCTACAGTGTCGAGGTATTCTAAAAAAGGTTAGACAAGAAAAGGCGGCCTTGACTTCTAGCCAACCCCATTCAACCACTCTAAAAGAATGTAGGCGAAGAGTGTCTCAGAGCGGAAGGTGAAATTAAAAGAGAAAACTCTCAATGGAGACAAAACACATGATTATTTTTGAATATCTGACAGTGAGGCAGTGGTCAAGGAAACTGAAATCAATGGGCCAGGATAAAAGAAGTTATTCGGTGGATTATATAGAAACCGCTAGAGGCACGCTATGAATGCACTCATAGTAAACTTAAAGAGGTTAACATTACAACAGGAGGGCCTTGGTAAAACGATACTCACTTGTGTTACAACTCTTAGCAAAACGGCCTTGCAGTCTTGGGATGAGAAAGAGATCTAATTAAAGTAGAGATTAATTAAAATCCTCAGTCACCGCTGTTATTGTATACTCGGAATACCTTTCCCACCGGAGAAGGCTCTTCTGTATGTGGAACCTTTGCAAAAGTAGGTATGAAAGCGAAAACGACTGAGAAACTGGGTTCACCTAAGATAGTAGGCAGCTAAATTACATACTAGATGACGGCAAGAAATATGATCCAACTATCAATCAATCCTTTAACGAGCAGGTGTGATGTATGACTTGGTAATACATGACAGCGATCTGCCTATGCAGCCCATGGCAGGCAAATCACTCTCGGAGGTAACGCGTGTGTCACACTTTGCGCACCGTCTGACTTTCTTTACCTTGGTGGTTAAATGACCTTAAACACAGCTTCATCACGGGGCTTACGGCCCGTGAGGAGTGGAGAAGGGGCGGTGAAGGAGGAGCTGGGAGGATGATGTATCCAATAGCTCGTTCATCATGTTAGATTAAATACTCCACTTCGCTGAACTTGAACGGGGCGACGGTCTACGTCCCTCCTTTCTCTTACAAACCACCAACGCTCATATGACCTCTGCACCCGCACCCTTTCCACTTCTGCGTTCTACTTCCAACTCTTTGTTTCAGTCTCTTATTCTCTTGCCTTTTATATTCGCCGCCTCCCTTCCCGTCTCTGCAAAATAAAAAACACAGCCGCTGCAGCTGCATTTATGCCGGGGATTTAGCTCGTAAGCTGAAATAATACAATTAATTTGTCCTCTCTCCGGTTCTCTCTTTCCCTCCATTCCTCCTGTTGTCTCAGATCAAGGATGTGGAAATGTGCTGACGTGGAGCGATACCCAAAAGACAATTCTAACAACGATGTTTGTTCACGCTAATGAAGAAAATAATGAAAGGCAAACAACAAAAGTAAAAGATAGGGCGAAATGAAATGAGAGCCACAGAGAAATTGAGACGTGTCGAACGACTGTGGCATTATCAAATATGCACACAAAGACGTGTGAGGCACTTTAAGTAATAGTATCACTGCGTTTGAGATATCTGTCCATCTCAGATAGGATATCTTGCTGCCGGGACAGGAGTAGGAGGAGAACACAGTCTCAGTACGTGAGCAGGGGGACTATCCGGGATAATTGGACTTACTTCAAATAGGGAAGACTCAAGAGAAAAGTATGAGTAAGTGAAAACTTATCTCGTCTTTCAGTTCTGCAGTTAAGAGGATATGTGCGTTTTAAAAAAAGAGTGAATAAGTCAGAAAATACTCAAATACTGACTACGAAAGCCTTGGGAGTCTTCAAAACGATCTCTGAAACAGATGCAAAGCCCTTTCAATAAGCACGCTGATACTCAAGCAGCATGTCAAAGGGGAACCCCACAGATTTGAGTTATGATGAGGATTCAGGGTTTTTGAAGATGACTCATACTACGAACTAATAAGTCATAGCTTCTGAAGCCGTGCTGTTTTTATTGACTGTTCGAAAACTAAAAGCTTTGCAAAATGGTGGCCTTACTGACAAGGGTTTTTATAGTTCGATCATAGGGGCCATTATGCTCATTTTCAGGGTGATATTTGTAATTTGTGGATCGACTGTGACATGTTTACAGACTCTCAAATTAAACTCTTGAGCTACTGTTAGGGTTTATGCCTAAAAAAACAGGTCTCAAGATGAGTAGTATATTTTATAATTCACATGACACATACATTACTTTGTGGTGGCCATTGGCGTCTAATGGCTAATTTTCCAAAATTCCAAAATCGGCCAATGGAAAAAAGGAAATTTGTTTTATACGGTTGAACCCCCATTATTGGCAGAACCCCCAATCTGCCAATAATGTCTAGTTTCCAATACATATATACACTTAACATCCTTTTCCCACATGTTTTAAATGTAGCTGGTAAAAGTTGTTGCTAGTAAGTTGGCTACCCCATCTTTTACCCACAAAAATAGAGCACAATATATCTCAGGACCCTGAAGCCTTTTACACATATATATTTACTTTTCTCATTAGATATTCATGAACAGCTTCCAACTGTTTCATGAATATCTCCATCTCTACCTCATCTGCTTCAAATAGGCTGTGATTATTATCATCCCTTTTCAAACAGGAAGCTGTCATCCTGTGGAGAGGAAGTCCCGGCGGTGTTGGAAGTACCTGTTCTGTTTTGCAGAGCCTGACTTTACTCCCCGCCAGGGACACCAGCACTCTGCCTTTGTAACCGCGGAGATCCAGCAAGCCTTGCTTGTTTGTGGAGGGCTTGTGGGGGAGGCTGTCTGAGCGCTTCTGGGAGCCGCAGGCGGGGGGGCGCGTGGCCGTCTGAAGACTTTCCATCCACTCCTGGCGCTCCCCTGTGCACACGTGCGTGAGTGAGAGACGGAAACAGAGACAATGAGAGGTGCGTGTGGATACATGTGAGAGGAAGAGATGAGAGGAAGAAATCAAGAAAGGCCAGAAAGAGAACTAGACAAAGACAGATAAGGGGCATCTTCAAGTCTTTGAATCATAGTGTGAATTCATCATTTTTACATCCCTTCAGTGGCTTGTTGGCTGCTAAAAGCCCCGTTGCATACTGATACAGAAAATTCCAGTCTGAAGGAAAAGTAATTGAAACAGAGGATGAGCTGCCATTGGTGGAAGTGAACTCAGCCCCCAGAAAAAGAATATCCTGCAAAGCTGAAAAGTGCAAAGTCTAGCACTTGAGATATAGATAGCTGCTACTCTGAGATTTACAAGCCTTAGGCAAGATGTGGCCGGGGTAATTCAAGACAAATGTGTGTCAAACATACCACCTAATTAAAATATATAGTTAAACTAGATTACTGCCTCGAGGTTGTATGCCTCCGCCAACCAAGTCAAGATTCAGTTTACACCCATGGCTGTAAAGTCATCCCTTCATTATCTTAACCTGTTCAACATTTGTTTGAAATTGGCATGTAGTTCTGTCTGAAACCAGAGCCCAGTCTGCTCTGATTGGTTAGCTGGCCAGCTCTGTTGTGATTGGACCACCACTTAAAGTAGAGATGTGTCAGAAATGTCCCGCTCCTCAGCATATCAATGTGTTGGAGTGCAAGCCAATAGAAGCACAAGTTATGTTATATAGTGATGTTAGTTTTTAAGGAAGTAAACAAAGGAGTGCAATCGATACGTTTTAGTCTAATGTCGATACCACGAAAAATGTGTATATACTGAGTGTTGATTCTACAGCCCCATTACATGCCACAATCCAAAGCTTTTAAGACCTGAGGTGCCTAGTAAGAGCTGACTGAATACAAATCTCTGTTGCTTTCCGTCCTATAACAGCTACTTCTTATACTCTGTGACTTCAAAAACGATTTGTCCTTGAACATGACACTTGAATCTCTCACTTGTATAAATCGCCCAGGATTACCTCACAACTAAATGGCTCAAGTGTAACGCAATGCGTGGTGTTTTATCCAGGGTTTACACTCTAAAGGCCTCTCAGATGTCTTCCTCTGCAACTTTACAAACGGACATAAAAGAAGACATGAAACCGGCGCTGTAAAGCTCATTCCCCTACCGCCCAAGACATTGTGCTATCAAAGCCAGCAGAGTGGAAACACAAGAGATACCAAAGGATTGTAAACACACAACCCCCCACGCTCACACATCACAGGTCCTAAGCAGCACCCACTGTGGTGACTGTTCAAAACAAGACAGAAGAAAAGGAAATCTGAAGAACATCTGTAAACCGACATGAGACCAAGCTGTTGGGATGGACCTTAACATTTGAGAAAAAGGCAACAAGACAGCCTTTTTCCTAAAGTTTTTTAGAAAGTAAATGCAGTACAATTCAAACTTATGTGGCTCTCAACTCGCTATCCAAAAACAACACTGACAAATTGACACTTTCCTAAAATACACAAAGTGACAAAGTTAGCACTTGTGTGGTCGTACACCCCTTTTTCACGAAATGTATTTTTGGATACCCAGGATTTTTAGCAAATAACAGGATGGGGGATCACATGATTGTTTTCAAACAGACAACTTGAGGTCTGTATTTCCAAATGGTTCTCTCGTTCAAGGGAAAATAAAGAGACAAGAGCCCTTATTAGGTGTAATCACTTCTCCGCTTCATTCTATCATCCATTATTATGATTATTATGGGCTGGTTCTTTGCCAAAAGACGTAAAACCATTGACACATAAATCATGTTGCCAAAATCAATTGTTTTATTACCTATATAGGCTAAGTAAGCATGAGCAAACGATTGTCCAATGTTATACTGTTAAAACGTGCACATTTAAGAATAGAGAAAGTGTGTTAATTTATTGATCCAAACTTTTCACCCACAGCTGGGTGGGAGCTCAAATCACATCAAAGTTAGAGATTCTACTAAAATGCCACGTCCTGAATCTTTGAAGAAGAAAAAATCCATTGGACATTTCAATGGAGAAATTAAGATAAATCCACACTTACTTAATCTGTTAGCAGTTAGTATAAGTCATACTTTTCACACTACCTTCAGTGATATCTGATGGCCTGTGTAAATGTTGGTCTGCGGATGTAACTGGTAGTATACGCAACATCTTTCCCCTGCTTCCTTGTAGCCTTTTAAGTCAGCATCAATCATATCTGCCACCACAGCAGGATCTTGATTGAGTTAATGTGTATGCAACCTGTTGGAAGTCAGCTTCATAACAAGGAACAAATCATCTATGTCTGCGGGAAACTCAAAGACCAAATTGCAGCGTTGGCCTTGGCCATGCTTTTCAGATTCAAAAATGTAAAACAAAAAAGGGGAAGTACAGCCGTTTGCGCCGATTACTGGTTTGGTCAATGAGTATCATTTAGTCTTAAAATATCAGCAGCAGATTATTGTGGTACTCCTAATGCATATCCTGCAACCGCGGAAATATATAATGTGACCCGACAGCAATTAAGAGCCACAGACATGTTGTTTATTTGTTAATAGTTAGGGGTGAACAGGGAAAAATCAAGAGTTTACCAGGGTTCAAATCATAGAAAGTTAAAAAAAGAATGGTAATAGATTTTGTTTCTTCTAGCGTTGCTTACTGTTCTGTATCCATTTAGGTATTTTTGGGTTGACTGCATAATGGATATGGTCTTTGTATCCACAGGTCCAACTTTACACAGCTATGATTATTTCAATATTAATTGATGCCAGTGGTTGGCCAGGTTTTAAACAGGTAATTTAGGGTGAGTGTTTGCGTGACCTTCTGACCTCTGCGCGCTCTCACATGTGGACATTTCAAACAACATCTGAGGAAAAGTTTCTCCCACTCCCACACACCCCCCTCCTGAGCTCCCAAATACTGTATCCGCTGCCTGGCCCTGAACTCAGCTCGGGTCTGGCTACCCCACAGATTCTTATGAATTTACAAAGAGCCGCTATCAATAATGAACGGCCTACTCAATTATTGACCGCCCTTTACATCAATGGGCTTTAATGTGTTCCGTTCCCACCGTTGCTTTCTGAGTTCCATTACCTGTCCTGCGCTCACTTATTTGCCTGTTCATTTATTCAGGCACTTCCTCTTTCTCTCCTCTTCGCGCATGCTGTCAATCTAAGAGTGGGAGGGAAGGCAAAGAAAGGAAGTGGGAGGATTGAGGAAGAAAATTGAGCGAAACTGAGGAGATGGTTAGCATGTGGGCTTCTGGCTGGTCTTGATGGAGTATATGTTTTTGTTTGTTTGCTCAAACTCTCGTATATGCGCATGATTGCCAAAGTTGTTTTCACTCTGTGTGTAAACATGCCCTTATCTCTATAAAAAAAGTGCACAGCTGGCCCAACAGAAGCCACATCCAGCTTGTTAAGGGATGTATGTATAGCCATGTATTGAAAACACTCTACATGGCCAGATACGAGCAGAGAGGCAGATAATCCTCATTGAAAGTGGATGAGATGAGAACCAGGTGCACTTAGCGCTCAGCAGAGATCTTAGAAGCCGGCATGTTGCAGTATGTACTTCAAAATCCAGTATTTTAAAGTCAGGATCTAGTAATTTAAAATATATACCTGTATTTTTGTTGCCTCATGTCAAGGAGAACTTTTCTTACTTGGCATAGTTGTTCTAATGTTTGTTAATAACACTAAACATTAGCTACAAAACTACCTTTTAATTCATTTGTTTAATTGTTGTTTGATGTTGAAACCAGGCACTGAGTGTTAAAATAAGAAAGTGAAATATTTACTACAGTTCATACAAATGTACTCCCACTCGTCCTCCGGAGTTTATATTTCTACCGCCTTCCTCTCCCTGGCCCGTTTGTTGTTATCCCTACTTATTGTCTACATCTCTCTCTTATCTGCCTCCCTGTCATCTCAGACAACACTAACATGTGTTCGGAGCAGGCTTTGTGGAAAGGCAATTGCCAAAGCATCAGAATACAAATCAACAACATTTCGTTACCACATAAATCCCATCTTCCCTCTTGTAGCGCATTTGTCTGCATCCCCTTCTCCAACACTCGCTTGTTGTCCCGACCGTTTTCCATCACTCTCCGCTCGCGTCTCTTCTTGCCAAACTTTCCCTTCCCTCTTGCTTTCTTCTCCCCCACCCTTTCCTCTTCCCTCCTTCCTTCCTCCTTCCATCTCTCCTCTCTCAAGCTGACAGTACCTGAGGGAAGAGGCCACCTGCGGACCAAGTGGAGAGTTAGCCGACAGCTGTGTGCACACTCTCTCCGGTGGCCTTCAATTATTCACTCGCTTCTCCCTCCTCCTCTCCCCCCTCTCCATCTTCACTCTGCCCTTTTCATCTCCCCCTGCCGTCCCTGCCTTTACCTCGCTGTTGCTTCCTCGCGCCGAGATTGCGTGTCTACCGCTCTCTCTCCATCCATCCCCGTTATTCCCTCATTTAATCGCTTCCGTCCTTGTTTCCACTATCCCCCCTTCTCCTAGTGTCCCTTGCGGATGCCTTTTCCGTTTCCTACACACTACTCTGACCATCACACCATTATTTTCTCCCCCCTCTCACCCCTACTGCATCAGCCCACTTCACTAACCTACTCCTTCTCTCTCCCTCTGTCTCCTCATGTCTTCCTCTTTCTCATGAGTTTCCCCAAAGATTGATGACTCTCCGCCACAAGGCGAGTGGCGACTGTTTAAAGATGCATGAGGTGATGAGGCCAAGTTTTCTCCTCCCTCTCTCTCCCCCTCTCTTCCCAACTCTTTCTTCTGACGGCAGCAGCCACCTCTGCGAGGGGGGCTTCTCGCTGATCCCGCTTGTCAGCACGGCTGAGTGTGACGTATGACGATCAGCTCGCAGACAGTGTGATGAACGATGCCGCTGAGGACCCGCGACTCTTAAACAGACAAAAAAGTCTGGCAGATATCGATATGATGATGCACTGAATGGAAAGAGTGAGGGCGAAGAACCACTGGGGCTCAGTTTGGTGAGAATTCATTTTAGGAAGTTTAAGAAGGTTTAGAAAGGGCAAGATGTTGACTACATCTATATCTGAGGGGGTGCACAACTTTCTGGAAGGAGATCCAATCGTAAAAAAGCAAATACCATTCTTCCATCAAGAAAAATAGGTCTTAAGAAGTACCATAACAAAGGTGGTTGAAGATCAAATCAAAAACATAAAATCAGGCCTTGATTTAATGTATGGGTGAGATGATACATTTTTATTTAGATGCATGTTTATAAGAGAGTATAGGCTTCCTCCATTTAGTGTTTAACACAATGTAACAATAGGACAAGGAAGTATACTCGTACGAAATGTCCTTACAAGTTATTCAAAGAGTTTGAGTTAGCTAGCAAAGAGGTCTTACTATTGCACATCCCTATATCAGCTCCACAAAACAATAACATCCTAATTCTGTTGAACTAATGTGCAATTTTTAACTGGAGTCCATGTTTTTGAGATCTCAGCTTGTATCAAATATATCCACTTCTGCGTGAAATGGCTTTGACTGAAGTCGAAGTAAACAGACTTTCAAAACTTTGAAACTAAATGTGTTTCATTGTAAAGTCAGAAGTTCAGAACTGATTTTTGGTAGACTTGATGCAGCGATAAAGGTTATAAAAACAAAACCTTTTGTTCTATGGCTTCTTTGTTACCAAGCCAATTCACAAATCCGACACTAGCAATCATTCTTTCACTTTCAACCACATTTTGGTCTCTCAAATACTGAGAGAAAGGTTCATGGGTATTTCATGACGTTCCCCAGCTAGCAAGAAAAAGATAAAAGATTAATAAAAAACAAGATGTTTAGCTGTTGACTAGTTGCTTTCCAAGAACAATTATGTGCAACTTGCCTCAGTCTAACCCACAGGATTCTGCTTAACAATGAGCAATAAACCACTGTTGAACTTATCCAGAGCAATAAGCAGATGCTCAATATCAATGATGTGTATGTCAAGTATTGATAATTATATTCGTAGATGTCAATAACTTGCAAAAAGGCTTTAATGATCTCAAAGATCCTTCTATGCCCTCACATCTTTCAAACTGTACCGCAGAATGAGTCAAAAGGTCCATAATCATGCAAAACTCTCCGATGTGATTCATCTGCGGGAACCAAAGGGCGGCCAGCATCTGATCCCAGAGATGGACCGTCGATTAATGCATGAGCAATTTGACCTGAGCTGCGTAATAGACTGCCATCAAACAGGAGGTGAGGAGAGGGAAGTGCTCCTTTCCCCTCTCATTAACACCGACACAAAGATTCCAGCTAAAAGACGAGGAGCAGAGACTACTCTTTCTTCGTTTTGTCTGACAGAAGGATGAAGAGAGGAAGGAGGAGTGGGACTATTAAAAGGACAGCTCCTGGGAGATTTGTGAATTAGTTCATTTACATAGAATTATGTTCAAGGAACTATTTATTCTGAAAAAAAACATTGAGGCCTTTTGAGAAATATGCCTATTTGTTTACTTTTCATTAAGATGAATGTGTATTTGAGGTGGGGTCAATACATGTTTAGCCTAGCTTAGCATAAAAACTGGAAGCAGGGGAAAACCAAGCCCCCAGGAAGTGCGACGGACTCTGAGGAAAATATTCGTTGTGGCCAAACGGCGGTACTACACTTCCGTATCAGTCGCTGGGCCCGGAAAGACTTTTTCCCATTGACTAAAATCGGGAAAGAGACGTCTGTAAATCGTTGGATCGTTTAAACTAAACAAACTACCCAGTATGAACGTTTGTATAGCCCTTATTAAAAACATTTGGTCCTCAAGTTGTAAAATGTGCCAATAACGTTATTCTGAGAGTTATTTTCCTCTGGTTTATGAACGCGGATCCAACCCGCGGGACCGCGCCGCCCGGCACGTTCATGTGACGTGTTCAGTACGACATGAGTTTTACCTTTACCCATGGATGCACAATAAGAACGGATTATATGATTATATGAATACTTTCGTGACGTTTCGCTCTCTCAAAGGTTGGGCCATTTTGTCTTCATGCGCCAATGAGCAACTCTCATAGGAATGAATGAGGCCCCGCCTCCCACGCTGTATCCAGTTCTTACTATACATCCACGGGGAAAACAGACCTACTAACTTATACATACACAAAGTCATACGCACTGTGTGTTGAGTAGTTGCAACAGATAGGACAGGGTAAGTTGTGTGTTGCCATTTTTACTTTCTGAACAATGGCTACTGTTATTACTTAGCTAATATGTTAGCGTGCAACTTTCCCTAAAAGCACAAAGTTTCAAAACACAACATATTAAGGATCTTGCAAGTTCTTGGAAGACAATATATTTTTGTTATTCTTACAAATCCAGGCAAGCTGTTTTAGCTCAACTGCAATTGTTATGCTTTGCTAGGCTACAAACAACAACAACAGACATGAAATTGATTGTCTTGTATCACGCTCTAAAAGAAGACACATTTCCTAGAATGTAGAGTACACAATTTCTTAATATATGGGTACCTTGCAAAATGAATTTTGAGTAATGTAAAATAAATAATAACATTGAAAATATCCTTTGAAAGAGGAGTACAGAATGAGCAGCAGAAAGAGGACTGCGAAAGGCAGAAAAAGAATATGAAGCATTTGTCGTACCTTCTCTTTCAGCCCGGAAAACGAAAGTCCGAAGCGAGGTAAGCACTTCGAACTTGTTGTCGCCGAGTCCTCGCACCAGTTTGATAGCACTGGACAGGATCGTACCTTTAGAGTACATCTCCTAAACAAAAAGACGCATAAACAGACAGATAAGAGCACTGATAAAAACCCAGGCAGACACACACAGCTTCACGCATCAGTTCTTATTCCCATTATCTAGATCTCAAGACCCACAATTACCGCATTGTTTGCATCAGTTGATGTGTAATTCTGAGTTGTACACCACTGTCAAGCATCTTCATCCATCTAGAACCATTACCCATCAACCCAGCTTCAAATGTATTTACAGAAATGCCTTCCCTGTTCCTTTTCAAGCAATAACTTTGACGAATGGCTCAGAGCTCTTGGGTATTTCAATAAAAAAAAAAAACCTGCTGCAGGAATGCAAACAGGAACCATATAGAAGCTGCGATCATAAGGAAAAATATGTTTTGATGTGGTCTTTGACATTAACACAAATCATTTGAATTATAGACTTGAAATGTGTGGGATTTGAAATGGAGCAGGAGGAAACAGCCCAAAAAGTGAATTACAATGCACCGAAGAAGCCAAGAATAACACGTCGTTTGGGTGTTAGGAGACATCATCATAAAACAAATCCACAAGCCGAAAACAAACTTCGCAAATATTTAAAAAGAGACGGGTACGCTGGTGTGGGGATTTGGGTGCAGCACAGGAAGCGCTTGTTGGGTAAACTGGGATTGGATCTGTGTGTGTGTGAGCGTGTGTGTGTGTGTATATTGTTTCATTACCCACATGTTTTCCCTGAGCAGCTCTAGAGGAGGCATCTAAACAAGGAGGATGTTGCACTGGAGGCTTCATGGCCCTCTTTACAACCTCCCTTGACAAAGCAATTAAAGTACGAGGTCATTGTCAATATAAAGAGGAGACGGAAGGGGCGTATAAACAAGGAATCAAACGTCAGTAATATAACTTCTAAGGAAGCAAGGAAAGAAGAGTACTGCCATGGAATCAGTGTTCAAACCGTAGTGTGGTTAGAGTAACAGAGAAATGCCCTCAAAGTAGTTGGAAATGAGCTGAGAACATGTCAGATTGTAATGTTCCTGCAATCGAGTGAACTGGGGGGAGAGTACATTACGCTTCCGTAGCGGCGGGAAAATCACCGGGTTGTAAAAAAGAAAAGGCTCGTCGCGGACATTGCATTATTCATGTCGATAATGTCATTATCATTGCAAGGTATGAAAAAAAACCTCCCTTTTTTCTCGCTGACGCTTTTCAACAAGCTTGACCTGAATTTCTGATTGTTGTAATGGATGGTGGGGATTGCCATGCACAGTACTGTATAGTTACTCTACTGTAGAGTGTGAAAGGAAGGGAAGACAAAAGGATGAATCTTGGAAGGAAAAGGAAGTGAACTTCTGACTCCCTCTTGCCATTCTTAATCAAGCCGGTGACCTCGACAGCCACAAAAGCCTATTCCTAGAGACAGTAGAGCCAAAAATATCCACCAGCAAGTGCAGTCAGTTAGGGAGAGCGGGGGCGGAGGCAGGGATGGATGGAGGGAGGGAGGGGGGCGTGAAATTTGAAAAATAAGAGAATTAGGTTTGTGTGAAAGGCCAAGGAGAGGACTGAGGAAAAGAGACACAATAGAGAAAAGATCAAAAGTATGACATAATCCGAAAAAGAAAGGGTTACGGATAGAAGAGAGACATCATGTCGGAATAAGGAGGCTAAAAAGGGGTCAGTGTGGGGTCCTTCTCATAATAAGACAGGATGTTAACAATGGCAAGAAGTGGCTCAACCTAATTACCGACATTCAGCATCGTGCGTTTATCTCCTCAGGAGTTTCACACTAATGTCTCCCCGCCTCTTTCGCTCTCTAATTTTAGATAGAAGTTAAAGGAAGGTGAGGAAAAGAGGAAGCACGCGGCTGATAATTATACCTCGGTACGGGTTAACGGTAATTCATTGTTTTAATTCTACTTTTGAGGGTCATGGAGGAGAGAGTTGTTTAATTGTGAGTTGTGCATCTGTAAATACCTCGATAGAAAACGAGAGACGAGGAGCGGTCAGACAACTCGGCCGCCCCCCCCCCCCCACACACAGTGTTTATAGACTAATCTCTAGAGAACGGACTGCCAAAGAAGCAATGAGGCCTAACTATCTCTCTTTCTCCAACAGACTCACCTGCTTCGCCTCCCTCTGCCAAACATCTCCTTTCCCCCTCACTCTGACCTCCCTCCCACTCCTCTCATTCTAGCCGTTCCCTATCAAAACCTCCCAACGTCGAACAGACTATTTTACGTGGATAACTGTGTCTCTTTTCTTCTCAAAAAAACAAACTGGTAAACTTCAGGAAACAATTAAAGCAGAGCAATTGAGCTAAGACCTTTAATAATGAAGGCAGCGTGTGGAGAAAGCAGGGAGGAGGCTGGAAAGAGTTTTCACCACCAGCACGGAGTTCAGGTGCTGGCGTCTCAAAGCAAAGGGTTTTCAATGGAGGCATGAGGACACCAACTGGTTGTAGCGGAGCACTGCACCTGAGAGATATTGCCTGTAGAAAGCAATGCGTCCTTACTCAGTGTTTCACCAAGTAGGGTGCCTCGAGGACTTTAAAGAGGCTGCTTCCAGGCAGAGCAGTGTTCCTAGTGAATTAGTCTACATTAAGTCTTCCTAGTGCGATGGAGAGGACTTGTGGGTCCCTGAACGCTGCAATGGGTCAAAAGGGGTTTTGAACATACAGTATAACCAAATAATTCAGATTAAATATTTAAATAGTAAAGCCTGTGGGCATCTTTCTTTCTTTTTTTAACATTTCATGAGTTTATATGGGCAAAAACAAAGATTTAGGGTTATGCTTAAACATGCATTTGATTTTTAGCCACCTGGGGGCATTGCTGCAAACATTTGCATTTCACCTTATACTGTAATGTTGATATTGTTAGCATTATAGCAAAATTGCTTATACTATATGCAAAGAATTCAATTGTTTGAAGTCCTGTTTTTGTTCACCTGATGAGTCCAAGTCCAATATTCACTCTCTTTGAGCTCAGCTTGACCAACTTATGAGAATGAAGTCTGCCTCTTTCGCAGGTAAATGCTATGTGAGCTTGTGGCTAACTGTGTCAGCTAATAAGCCCTTGGAAATAACAACGGTACGTTTTCAAAGCTCTTTCACAACTCAATGCTGTAAAATCTACATCAAGAGTAGCACTAATATGGATTCAAATGGTAAGAACATTGACATCATTTAAGATTCTTTACAACAGCTAGATGTGTCGCATACTTTTCACACAGACATAATATAAAGTAAACATTTGGAGAGTTACAAGTGTTACACTAAGTGTCAGCAAGGGCAACTTGGGAAGACACAGGAGGGAGTAAGCAGAGGAGCTTTCAGGCTTGGAAAGAGAGAGCTTTGCAGACAGACAATCATGGAGACTGATACACTCAAAGACTGATCCCCGATCCTAAAACCTCAGCTCCCCTATGGCCTGCTATTCAGCTTCCACCTCCCTCCCCCATCTTCTCATCCCTTCATCCCTCCCAGCCATCCTCCTCACATCCTCCCTTTGCTACCCTGAAGCCAGGCTTTGGACTGTTTCTTCACAAACACACACACAGACACACACGACACCATGTCGGTACCCTAAAGACTACCTCTCAGGCCCAAAGCGTTCTCCCAAGTCAATCCGGGTGTTGACGAAATCAGGCGAAAGGAGTGATTGATGTGGCGGATTGGATACAGCGCTGCAGAGAGGGAGAAGTGAGACCGAGGATCTCGCTACTCTCCCACGCCACCTCAGCTACCCCCGATGATGACATCATGGCGGCCAGAGACCTTCAAGCTGGGACTGCGATTAAGTGCGATTAGTTCTGTCTGGGGTTGATAGATCCCAGAGGATTTTTAACTACGGAAAGAGTTTTCTGGGGTAGTTTAAAGTTCGAGAAAGAGAAAAAGCATGGGAATATTAAAAGAGTGGAGGTGTGTGTTTTTTTTGGTGCATAGTGAAGATTGAAAACATAAAAAACAATATCTTTGCTGGTTTTTAATATAAGAGATAAAAAGTCTGGATCCTATCTATTCAAGTTAGCTAACATTAGATGCAACATGCTACTGGCCATAACAGACCAAGTGGGGTTACAGCAGCAAAATTGGATATGTTTTATTGCTAATGTATTCAAATTTGTAGTTTTTTGAGAAATGTTTTATTGTTACATCATTTCAGAGATATCTGAAAAGGCTAAATTAATATTATCCTCGACTTTACTTAAGTGTTATTATTGCTAACATGCTAAACTTAAATGAGAGCAGCATGTCATCTTTGCCACTGTGGACATGCTGCAATAGCATTGTTAGCATGTAGCTGAGATTATAGCATCTTGAGTAATAATGCATATAATAGATGCAGACAAAGTGAGTCACAATTTCTCAGGTTTCATTTGCCTCATTACACCTTGATATGTGTTAACCCAAAATACCATGCCATGTGTTATCTATATATATCTATATACACACACAAGTAGTATATGATTACAGTTTGTATGTATTATTACACTATACAGTAATAGTTCTACTTTACATTATTTAATTTCAATTTTAAATTATTTATCATTCTTTCTCCTAGAACTCACTATTGCTCAGTTTTAAGTCTTGTTTTTGAGAAGTATACTGTCTGAAGCTTTGTTGGCAGAGACCTAAGAGTTTCATTGCCAAAACTCTGCCATAGTTATCGAGTGTATGACAAATAAACCCTTTGGAATATTTAAAAACAGGCATTACACTTCAAATTAGCTGGCAAACCTGCTTCTAGTTGAAGCACTTCAATATGAAAAATGCATAGTAGCTCATCCACTTGGAAATGTAATGATCCGATAATCCATACCCCTGATGTGAGATCAATTGTGAAGGTTTTGTAACCCTTCAACATAATGACAACAACACGGGATGAAAAATGACTTGTGAACTGAGCAGTGGAGCTTGTAGTCTGCACTCTGTGTAGCAGCACATGCATGTCTCTGCACTGGGAGGCAAAGAAAGCCAGCAACTCATATTTCAATTCCTGACATAAAGCGGTGCTGAGAGACTTCCTGTCTGTCCATGCAATTTCCTTGTACCCCCGCGCTGGCTCTGGAGGTGGCACTGGGTGGCACGCGGGGCCTCAGCTGGCTGCATAACGCGAGGATGACAGAGAGATTGTACTCGACCTCTCCGCTCACCCGAAACATGATGAAGCCTCCTCAGAGGAGAGAGTCACATTGGCAGGGTGACTTTAAAAAGTCTAACAACAATCTCTCACACACACAAAGGCAAACTTTCATCTTTCTAAAAAAAGTGCAGTGCCTTCGCCGACAGTGACACGGAGTATAAAGTGCTGACTCGCCGGCCTCCCTGCTGATTCCTGCCGCGCTGGCGATGGAGTGTGTCCTGACAAATAAAGCAACAAATTCAAAGGATAGAGAAACCAAAGGAAAAGAGATAGAGGCCTGGGAGCGAGTGAGCGTGGAGGGCTATAATTAGTAGGTGATTAACGAGCGGGCATCAGACAGGTCCCACATCATTGATTGTGATGTTGTGCGTTGCTACTGCAGCGAAAACGAGCTGGCCCTGAGAAGGGGCGCTGAGGTCACCACACACACACACACACACACACACACACACACACACACACACACACACACACACTTGAGACTCACTGGAGAACACAGAATTCATGCATTCAAAGTATTTTTTGCAAAGGATAGAGCCAGGGTTTAGGAAAGCTTCTGGATTCAAATAATGAATACTCAACAGTTTGACAAAGCCTATTTTCTTCCTTTTCTAGAAGGCCTTAAAACTATTCATTCCTGTTCATTATAAAAGTAGTTTAATGTGCTTTCTATATTGAATTAATGCCATTAAACATATAATATATGTATACACTTATACAACCTTATCTACATTCATTGTTGTCAGATGTTGTCTCATTGTTACGTGATGATGCAGATTGAGGGCAGATTGATTTACAAAGGCAATACGCTCGATATGTAATTAGTACTGACTGAAACATGTCTGTACATATTTAAGAATCTAAATTTGGTATCAAGAGCTCGGTTGTGATTGTTGCCGAAATGCTGCTTGATCAGATGTTTCCTAAACCCTTTTTCAATCTAAGAGTATAATATGCGAAGAAGATATTTAAAGAAGAAATCATCTCCTGATTACCATTTTAAAATACATAATTCTAAATAATTAATGAAGGCTGCAAAATACAAAATATTTACAATGGATATCTGTGAGATAAAGTCTTCTGACTGTCTGCTTTTCTATTGTGTGCTGAAGAATGCTAAAGGGTTCAGTAGCTCATCGTCATGAGAAAGGTTATCTTCTGTGACAGATAGTATAAAAACCTGGAATATCCTCCAAGTATTCAGACACATACTTTTGGCTGACATGACAAATATGATGTCTCTTGTAGTTTATTTACCTTCAATAGGGTTAGGGTTAGGTTTCTATTGTGTTATATTCTAAGGATTTAAAGCGATTGATCCACAGCAGTCATTCCTTATACCAGGGGTCGGCAACCCCTGGCACGCGTGCCAGCATTGGCAAGCGGCACCGTAACCAGTGGCACATAGGAATAAGTGGAATAAGTGTGCAAAATATCAACATTTTATTTTCGGATCCTGAACGAGACCGCCGCCAGAGGGGGTCTTCCCGTTACCTGCAGAAGGAAGCCATGCACGCAACGCAGCCCCGCGCTCTTTAACTCCAGGCGACTTTCTGCCGCTTTCCTCCGTGGTGCAGTGCTGATAGTTTCACCACAGAGGAAAGCACTTCACTAATTGCAGTACCCATAAGGAGCTGTACAAATCCCGCAGTTTTTGCGTGGCTGTGTCTTTAGTTGAAATCCCAGTGGCGATCTGCTCATCTCTCATCGAAATAATATGCTACACAGGGGTGGACTGGCCATCTGTGTGTTCTGGAGAATCAAAGAACGGACGATCGTCCTTATCATTATGCCGTTTAAACAAATTATTTAAATTTGTTTGTTAAATTTGGCATCATGTAAGTTGCGCTGACAGGTACTGGAGAGAGGTGAGCTCTTCTTGGGAGGCCGTTGCATTTATTTAGCTGTTCTTCTGTTTCACAAAATACATCACAGACCTCTGTTTTTCTGCTTCCTCGTTTCACTTCCAGAAACATACACACGTTCCCTCACTGTCGCTCTACCATCCACACGCCTCTNTTATGATAAATGATTATTTAAACAGTAAATAAACCCTGTAGGGGACTCTCAAAGTGTGCAGGATTTACCCTGCCTCATACCCAGTGCAGACAATTAATATTGAAGTGACTGTTATTTTGTATATATTGATTGTTGTTGTGTTTTTATCTTAATGTGTGTGTAGGTGTCATAATAACACTCAGCCCAAGTTCATTATTTGTATTATTAGGGTTAGGGTTAGGGTTAGGTTAGGGTTTGCATATGTGTAAATGTGTCTGTTAATTGTGTATATATAGGATATACATAGGGCTGATTTGGTAATGTTAGATCAATCAAGCATGCAACCTTTTTATACATATTTAATATATTATATTGTATTATTGTATTCGGGATTGTTGGAAACGTTATTTTCGATCTCTCTGTCTGTACACACAAACTGAAAGATTGACATTAAAGTTGACTTTGACGCTGGGATACACTCCAGCGACCTTTGAGCATGAACAGAAAAAACAGTACAAATACATTGCATGGATGGATTATGTAACTAAAGGACTGGTGCTACATTATGAACTATAACCAAAGATTTATGGTGTTTTATTCATTTTATCACACTGGAATAAGTGTTAATGTTTCATTTGTTCTTTGCCTGCACCTCATTTGTGATTTAAAAAGAAATATTATGACAACAATACAAACTGACAGCTGTGCA